ACCACCTACTAAGGAACTATTGACTCCTTTTATTGTATACTACGAAGATGGAAATTTCACTAAATTGATCCAAAAGGCAAGGAATGCTTGGGCAAAGGTTGTTTGAAAAGGAAAAGAGCTAGGCGTGAGAAGTTGTGCAGCGAAGGCAAGTTACCATCAATGGGTTAAAGAAAGAATCCAAGAGATTAAGTTACCATTCAAGGATCCAGGTACCTCTCAAGAAAGTAAACCATCTAATCTAGAACCCTTCGAGTATGAAGAAGTAAAAGAATTAAAGGCAAGACTAACTAAGATGATTGAGAAGAATGTGAGAGTAGAAAGGGAGCTTCGAGAGAGCCGCCAAACTTGCGCCATTTTGAAGAGAGAGAACTGTGAAAAATAACAAGCCTATAAAGAGGTTTGTAAGAAGCAGAAGTCTGTGTAAAGCCATGCAGCTTTTTATGAGAAAAGATAACTAAAAGGTGCATTATATAAGGCAAAAAAAGATCGAGAAGAAGCTTTGACTCAATCCAGTGAACTTCAAACATGAGTACAAAACATGGGAGAGAAGATAAGGAAAATTATCATGGCATGCGAGGCTAAAATTAATGCTAAAAAAGGGAAAGTATTCAGAATTATGAAAGAATATGAAGTTATTGTGAAAGGAAAAGATGGTCAGATAAAAGAAGGAGATAAGCTCATTGAGTATTGGATTAAGTACTTTATACAACTTGCATCATTAGCTAATACAACAATTGATGACGTCCCACATATATTGTCAAACGCCGAGATAGCTACATTCTTCTTCACGACACCTCAAGAAATTAAAGACTTCCTCGGCCATTACAATTAGTTGGTCTCAGAGATGAAAGGAATGATAGTTGGGGGTTAGGAAAGGGTGATGTAATGACTTAGGATATGGGTAGATCATGTCTAGGTAGGAAAAAGAAAGATGTATTTTGGATCAAACTGTGATGTACTTCAGTGTTTTGATTTAATTTGGGATTATATTTTGGTGTGTTTCATTTGATGAGCGTCTTACATTAATTTCCATCGAAGACCCGAAGACGTTCAACAACTATGATGATTTTTTAATATTTGGTTGTTATTTTTAAGTGCATTTTTTGTTTTGGTTAATTCTTTTTTGAATACAAACTCTTTCAAAAAATTAAACAAACATAACAGAGAAATGTTTTCTAAAACATCCTTATAGAACTCGCGCTCAAGTAAGGATCATGGATGAGTTAGAGGAGCACAATGAAGAACTGATGAACAATGTTAACTAGTTGAAAGAATAAATGGCACAAATCTTAGAGGCACTAAAATCTTTAGAGAGAAGAGCCAAGGGGACCCCTACTCAAGTACCTCTAGTTCAACCCACTCCTACCTATCCACCAAGTTTCACCCCTACACAAGGACCGTTTCAAAGTTTTCCTCCTCATGAAATAATGGTGCTTTTGATCCTCTATGTAGAAAGGCCTCGACAACAAGCTTTCAATCAACAAGATACTCAATATCCCCTATATGACCTTCTCCTTGGTTATACACCATCGATAGCTGAGAACCCACTAAACACTAGCAAACTATCAAATCAACCCAATTATGCACAACCTTCAGGCCCATAAATCCAACCAACTCAAACATCCATCCTGTCATATGCTTATCCTCAAAATGCCCATCCCTACGAAGCTTATATACCCCACACTATACTTACTCCAAACCAACCGATCCACCACCAACCACAAATCACTAATCCTAGCCTTGATGAAAACCCAGCCATATCACCATTCCATTCCCATAAGACCTTGAGAGAATCTCAACCAAATTATTTAGATGAACATTTATAATCTAGAGAAAAATTTCAAATATCGGAAGAAAGATGAAAGCTATTTAGGGGAGTAGATACCAAGTTAACATTTTAAAAAATAATTTTTCTTTTCCTAGGATAAAATAATTAATATTTAGGGGTTAAATAAATATTTTTTAAAATTAAAATGTATTTGCATAATTAATTTAAGGTAACCATTTTTAAATGGATGTTGTATGGTGCTAATACCTTCCTTACATATAAATGACTCTCGACCTCATTTTTTATTTTAAAGATCATATTATTTTAAAAAAAATTTCAAGGTTTTCTTAAAACAAACTTTGGTGGTGACTTCTCTGATTTGTTAGAAAATATTTTTGTTCCTAGAAAATATTTTTTTAAGAACATTTTTGCTGTACCGTTACGACATCACATTACTAATAGTTTCATACTTTAAAGGTGAGACACTAATTTTTTTAAAGAAGTTATAAACATTAGAGAGATCAATTTTTTTTCTTTTTAATTTTTTAAAAGAATTTTGTATACAAAATTTAAGAGCAAATGACACGTTTTAAAATTTTAAATAATTTTCTTTACTCACAAAACTAATTTGAAATAGTATATTCAAAACTGGGCCTAACAAATGGTGATATTGTGGGTACATTCTTGACACGCTGGTTTTAGCTTCATGAGAGAAAGCACACACTCAAAGTTGCTACACATTGATCAAATCAATGACTTATTGGTTGCACCTTCACATTTTTTTTCAAACAGTTGGTGTTCAAGGTATTACTACGCCTCTCTCTCTTTGGCTTATGAAAATGTGTGCCTTCAGATTGCTAGTTTTTCCCTCCTTCAATGCTCACTTCCTTGGTTAAGAAATAAGTGTTTATGAAATTTCACAAATCAAATGCAAAGACAAAAAGAGGTGAATGTTTAACTTTTAACTTAAGAACGATGATTTGACTTATGAAGACGTGAACCACCCTCAAAAATGTTTTTTTTTTCTTTTTCAAACTAATTTCATATATTAGGTGGACAAAACATTTCAAAATTTTGACGTGTCATGTTTTCTTGAATTTCATCATGTACAAAACTCCTTTAAAATATAAAAAAAGTTGTCTTTCTAACATACAATAATACTCTAAAAAAAAAAAAACAAAAACTTTCATCATTCTGAGGTGTGAAACTTTTAAAAAAAGTGACAACGTAACGAAAAAAGCCCAAACAAAAAAATATTTAAAAAATAATATTGTTTTAACAATAATTTTTTAAAAATATATAAAAAAAAAGCCTTGGATTCGATCACATCAAAAGTAGAGTTTGATTTTATTAAGTATTGAAAGCGAAAAGCCTTAAAAATATGAGATTTAATGAAACTAGCTCCTAGAAATGCTTTGATTCTTGATACGTACCTTGTTAGTGTCATTATTGATTACCTCTAGATTTTGTTTTATCTTTATAAATATCAAATTATTGATTTCAATTGTCTAAATAATAAAAATTGAAAGTAATTGGTATATAATAACACAATCCTATAAAACGATATTTTTACTATGTTTTTAACCGCGCACTTGCGTCTTATAAAGTTTCTGGCATTATTATCAAGGATTTTGATCCTGTTAATACCGGCGTTAATTGCAATTTAATTAGACTGGACAATCTTTTCTTTATTTTCCTTTTTTCTTTACACTTCACACTTTTATTTGATTCTATTCTCTACTTTGTCTCCGTTACTTGGTTTTTTTTATTTAAATAATATTTTTAAAAAAATAAATTCTCAAATCTGAGATAATTTTAGTCTCGTGTCACGAATTTCATTATAATTATTGACAAAATTTTTATTTTTAAATTTAAAAAAAATAAATTTTATCATTAAAAATGTAAAATTCATAATTTTTTTATTTTTTAAAATAAGTTTCATAAAAAAATAGAAACTTATAAAATTTGTATGCGTCAAACTATTATAAATTTTATAATTATAAAAAAATATTTATTTAAAAAATAACAAAAGTTTCGCCAGATGAATAGCAAAACTATTTGTAAAAGAAATTCTCCATTGCAGAGCGCTTTTACCAAAGACACCAAAGAAAAAAAATATTCACTGGACAATTTATTGGACACATGTAATGTGATTAGCGAGTCATTGGATAATCTAACAAGAACTTTGCAAGAGACTAGCAGATGAAGTTCTAGCGTAAGGGTTCAAGGGAGTACCAGATGGAGCTTCAACAAATGTAATCAATACAGCAACAAATCCGATGAATGAGAAAACTTTCTTTCATCTTCCAATCTCTGAATTTGAAAAGAGCAGACAAATCTGATGAATAAGACAGCTTTCTTTCATCTTCCAATCTCAGCTTTCTTTCACTTGGAAGGCAGACAAATCCTATGAATGAACAAGGTAGATGTAATGCTTCAACCGGTTTGAAAATTGACGAATTTTTTTTACGAAAAGTTTCGCCATCCATCTCGTGAATCTTTTTTTGTTTTTTAAATAAATATTTTTTTTATAATTATAAAATCTATAATAGTTTAACACGTCTAAAAATTTTACAAGTTTTGCATTTTTAGTAATAAAATTTATTTTTTAAAACTTAAAAATAAAAATTTCGCCCTGACATTTGACTAAAATTACTTCAAGTAGAGAAATAGTTTTAAAAAAATTATAATTTAATTTTTTTTTAAAAAAATATTATTTAAATAAAAAAGCCCCGTTACTTCTGTTTCACGCATGTAATTTCTCTTGTATTCAAAGAAATAACAGTTCTAACGATATTGAAGATCCAGATTCTGAAATTAAGCACACATTTCACATAGAACCTGAATATGATTCAAGGTCAGAGAACAGAAAAAGGGTGGGTGGTGCCAAATTCCTCCAAAATCTGAGACTATAAGGATTAAAATGTGATTTCATCAGCCTATAAAAGATAATATAGTCATCAGTCTATCAAGCACTCGGGCTCTGGGCGAGGATCAAAACACTACTGAAATAGGCAATTGAGATTCGACCAAAAAAAAAAAAAAAAAAACAGAAAAAGGTAATTGAGTTCAAGCAAATATTTACTGCATTGTCAGAAATCCATTAGCAACCATTTTTGTCTTCAAAAGCATGGCAAAAAAGGCATTGACATGAATGCCATTAATGTGAAATGAGGAGATAAACCGAGGCAACTGTCCCATCTAAGAATTGCCAGTCAACCTTAAAATTAAAATATTAAAATGAAGACAAATATTATGGCTTGTTATATCCGCACAATTTTTCGCCAAAACTGACAACACACTTAAATCGAAATTAATAATCGCAAGTTCATGTCTCAATCTCAAATAGTGACATAAAACGTAAATTATGATGAGGTAGGTATGACAAGTCATACATACAGAAATATGACATAGAATTTGACATCTGAGTGGCTTTGCTAGGCACTTTTGATTATTTATGATTAAAACTTAGCACTCACGACCTTAAGTATGGTCAGATACTGATATACATCTTGTCATGTTTTTAAACAGCAGAAACATTATTAATATTACTGATAACATGCATGCATGAACTGGTGCTCAGGATTCTACTGTGATACTTGCGCCAGATTATGATCCAAATGGCTGACAATAAAATAAAACATTTGCATTACCAGTAAATCCATATATAATTGAAAGAGGAAAGCATAACAATAAACATGGAAGTAATAAGGAAGGGTTTACCCTCAGATTTTTGGTGAACCTCTTTTCATTGTGAAGCTTCCAGCTCCTGTGTGTTGGATGCATTCTCTGATGTGTCTATGCAGGGACTGTTTTTAATTTGATCCATAGACTGGGCCTCAAACCAAGAATTCTTAAACCCAAGGCGGGAGAGTTGCTGATTACTTTTCAAGTCCTCATTTGGTAAGCAACTTACAGGAAAGTTCACCAGGTTAGCTGTTTTGCTTTCACGTTGCACCTTAGTAGAAATAGGTGACTCCAGTTTGTCAGAATAGTTTTGGGTTGACTCCATAGGCCTATGAAAAAGTAAACGAGCCACAGTTCTATCAATGGGATTCGTCTCTGTTTCAACATCAGGGATCCTGGCATATCTGTCATACAAATACGCGGTTCATACAGTGACAATAGTTAGCAACTTTAGCATCATCGCAGCATAATTGAGGTGATGACATTTACCAAAATGTTATATCCATCATTGTTTTTGCAAGATAAACATGCTTATAAATTAATTGGAAAAAAAATACTGTCATCACTAATAAGGAAACTAGGTAATAGAAGCCCTACTCTTGTGATTAATAGGTGTTCAGTTGAAAACAAAGGCACATGTTTATTCTGAGCAGCAAAAACCAGCTATTTACTTGAACTAGCTAACTAACGCCTAATCTGGTATCAGCGATCATCTTAACTGTTTTCTATTATTCCTAGCCAATGTGGGATATCTTAACTGTGTCCTATCTTAACATTGCACATTAGCCCTTACAAAGAGTATTTTGTCTTTATTCCTAGCCAATGTGGGATATCTTAGCGGTTTTCTCAGCCAGTTACTACTAAACTGACTAACATGAATTTCTTGACTTGGCAATAGCAAGTAGAAGTTGTAATCTGTGGCCACGATATTCAAAGGTTTGTGCATAACGTCCAAATTCCATCATGATATCAAACAAATGTACATTGGGATCAAGATCATGTCAATTCTGCATATTTGCAATGGGAACAGTAGGATTTTTTATTACTTTCCTGGTTCCTTTCATTGCTATCTGACTTGAATCTTGCTTGAGTATGATTCCTTCACCACAGTCATGTGCTGGAATGGCCTTCTTTCTATTCAAGATCTTGAATCCCTGCTTCTTGCTGAAGCAGCATGATTGAGAAAAGTAAATAATCTGCAAGATGAATGGAGGAAGAACACTTTGGTTCTTACAAGAACCAAGGGTGATATAAAAAATTGTGCAAACTATAGAGGGATTAAACTCATGAGTCATGCTATAAGGTTGTGGAAAAAGGTGATTGGAACATAGAACAGGGAGAAAACTAAGATTGCAGAAAATCAATTTGGTTTTATGCCAGGAAGGTCTACAACAGAAATTATATATATATATATATATATATATATATATATATATAACCAAGACAGAATTTGTAACTTGCTATCTTTTTGCCTAGCAGGCAAAGATTTACCTCCGTGGAAAAGATGATTCATTCAGATTGACATGAGATTCCAACCACATTGCATTGCTAGAACCCATGTTATATATTTGAAAAAGGTTGACTTGCTTCTTTCATGTTGCAATCCTTTTGCCGCTGAGCTCCCTTTCTCTTCGGTCCACAGAGACAAAATGTAAGACTGGTGCCAACAGTTCATCATGAAAGAAAGGACTTGCTGAACTGAGATCACTAACTAATGCTAACCTAATACTAATAAAAAATACTCTCCCCAGTTCCATTGCTACCGCGTGCTTTACGCAATCGATCGGATCATATAGATATCCCTTCAACACAACATAGGTCATCAAAAGGATCTCGAAGACCCACCAACGCACGAAAGCCGAGATTTTTTAGAAAAAAGATTCCTATTCGAAGGGTGCATAACCGCATGGATAAGGTCACACTAACCCGTCAATTTGGGATTTTCCTCGAGAGGTATCGGGAAGGAATTGAAATGTAATAATATCGATTCATACAGATACAGATACAGAAGAAAGGGTTCTCTATTGATTCAAACACTATACTTACGAGATAGGGATAAAGAAAAAAACAGAAAATTTCATTTCACATAGTACTTTTGATAAAAAATCAATATGATTTATTTCGTACTTTTTGCTCAATGATAAAATGGGTCAGATTCTACAGAATCAAACCTGAGACTTAAGGAAAAAAAAAAAGAAATCAAAAAAGAAAAATAAGTACATAAAAATGCAGTAGAAGAGTCCAGATTCCAAACAAACAAATTCAAACTTGATTGAAAAGAATCTTTCTGATTCTCAAAGAATGAGGGGGCAAAAGGATTGATCGAGAAAGATTTCTTGTTCTTATTATAAGATCATGATTGGATTCACATATGTTTGGTAAAAGGAATAATCTTCTCCTTTGAGAATAATAAAAAAGGAAAGTGTTCAATTGGAACATGAAAACATGACTGAATTGGTCCTAGTTACTCTTCGGAACAGAGTGGAAGAAGGGGGAAGATTCTCGAACGAGGAAACGGATCCAGTGACTTCAAAAGAATTGAACGAGGAGCCATATGATGTGAAAATCTCATGTACGGTTCTGTAGAGTTGCAGTAAGAGTGACTTATGTGTCAAATTTTCCACTATTACACCCAAAAAAACCAAACTCTCTCTCTCTCTCTCTCTATATATATATATATATATATAAAAGGACCTTCTCACACCAGTGTAAGCCTAGAAACTTACATTGAGCATTTCATTTAATTTACATCTAACGGTCAGTGAAGTAATAAATTATAGTCTGTTAGATGTAAGTTAAATGAAAGACTCAAATCAAGTATAAGAGTTTTTAGACTTACACTAGTGTAAAAAGATCTTGTTCCTATTATATATATATATATATATATATATATATATATTTTATGGAAGACAATAAAAAAATATCGCTACAAAGAAAAAGATTTACACATGATTTTTATTGACTTGGAGAAGGCATATGATCGGGTACCAAGAGAAGTGCTATGGAAGGATTTAGAAAAGAAAGGGGTCTATATAGCGTATATTTGGGTTATACAAGACATGTATGAGGAGTAATTACATGTGTGAGAACTTCTGGAGGCGTATCTAAGGACTTCCCAATTGGAATAGGTCTACATTAAGGCTCTTTTTTGAATCATTACTTGTTTAATCTAATTTTAGATGTGCTTACAAATGACAAACAAAAGATTACCCCTCAGTACATGCTTCTGTAAATGATATAGTGTTGGTCGAGTTTTCGAAAGAAGATGTTAATGTTAAACTTGAGTTACGATGGAATTATAGAATTTAAGGGTTTTTGCTTGAGTAGAAGCGAGACAGAGTATATGCATTGTAAGTTTAGCAAAAAACAAGATGAGAATAATGTGTTGAAAGTTAATCTTGAAAATGATATTATATCACAAGTTTCTAGTTTCAGGTACATGGAATCGACTATACAAAATGATGAGGAAATTAATGAATATGCTACTCACAAAATATAAGCTCAATGGTTAAAGTGGGAAAATACATTAGAAGTTATTTGTGACAGTAAAGTACCTCTCTAGTTGAAAAAAAGTTTTACCATACTACAATACGACTAGCTATCCTATATGATAGTGAATGTTAGGCCTTAAATGAACAACATGAAAAAAAAAAAGTGAGAGTGATAGAAAACAAAATGCTAAGGTGGATAAGTGAACACACAAGAAAGGATAGGATACAAATGATAGTGTACAAGAAAATATTGAAGTAGAAGCTATAGTGGAAAAGATGTCAGAAATTATCTAAGGTAGTTTGGTCATGTACGGAGAAGACCTTTGGAGGCGCTAGTAAGGATAATGGATTGCATGAATCTTAGTCCAATAAAGAGGCTCCAACAAGACAAAGTGGATAGTTTGGAGAGACAGGGTACCATTTGCTCTAACTTTCAAAGAGTGAAATGACTTAATTGAGTATGAACCAAGAGAGGAGAGTCTACCACAAAACCAATATGAGCAAAAGGATATAGTTTATAAAGTCCTTGTAACTCAAATCTAGTACCAATTATCTGTCCTGAACTGTGGTCCTGTAGAAAAACAGTCTTTTAGTAAAGGATACGATGCCATCTAAAAACCAATTAGACGATGGATAGATAACAAATTAAAGGGAGACATGGGAACCTAAAGATCATTATTAACAAATAGTGATGAAAGGGGATGAACAATACCAAGACCCTGAGATTGTGTGAGACCTATTGGTCATAATAACTTTTGGTAAATAATTAGAAGCAGAAAGAGAGGAGAAAAGAGACTTATTACTAGTGATGTGATAAGTAGCCCTAGAAGCAAGGACCATGGAGCAAGAGAGGTAGAGTGAGAGATACTAGTGAAGGAATTATTAGTGTGTGCAATAGAGGTAGCAGAACTTGAGGCTTGATGCTCCTTCTACCATTGAAGGAAGTCATTATAGGTGGGAGGAGAATCTGAAGTTGAAGGCACATTTAAAGCCATAAGCTCAAAAAGAGTAAATGAAGCTGCCTCGGCCATGGGGCAATGCAAAAGCAAGAGAAATTGAGGTAAAAAAGGGTGAAAAATGCCAAACAATGGCTACAGGAAGCAAAATCAAGCAAACCAATCACAGATCTAAAAGGGAATGGAGAAGCCATCAGTGTCAACAATAGTAGGGGAAATGGTATCACACGTCTCCACACACAGTAACAGTGGTGGCTATACAGGTTAGATCCTTTAATCGATGCGGGTCCAACTGCATTAGGTTGTGCACAAAGAGGCGGTTTAGATCATGTGGTCATCAGCTATTGGAACAGTGCACCCACAATAAACAGTAGCAGGGAAGATAAAAAACAACAGTGAGTAGTAGTGGAAATGACCGGAAAACAGAGATGAAGTTGGTTTCCGGTAGAAAAAATCACACCAAAGATGTTTGAATTAAAATTAGTCTCATAAAGCCAGATCTAAGGAGGAGTGCTACCCAAGCCTTATAGGGAATAAGTATGTTTGCCCTATTCCTAGCCGATGGGAGACATATTAACACACCCATCTCAAACTAGATTGCAGGATTGGACACCTGGCCTAATAGGACTGGACATGGTTTCAAAGCCTTTTTGGGTGGGCCCAAAATTCAAACCAAAAAGGCTTTGAAACCATGTTGAAAGAGAGAAAAGTGAGAGAACATGCAGATAAATCTGTGTCTTAACTACACAATAGAGCATATATTTATATTGAAAATAATAATAATTACAGAATATTCAGTTACCTAATTAATAATTACAAAGATAACCTTTCCTTATTACTATAATTACATCTATTTAACACTATCCTTATCTTAATTCTGTTATAGTAATAGAATAGTTATGCATCTTAACAACCACTGATTTTGAGCAAGTGCTGCCTATTTAATAGAAGATAAATGCTAGCAACACTCTTTAATACACTCTTTCAAATATATTTATTATTATTTGTTGAAATTTATTGAAAATCATTAAATTATGTGGGTCCCATGTCCCATTTAATGAATCCCATTCATAATTTGTTATTCCCAATAAATTTCAACCCAACAATAAAGAGTGTATTACAAATAGTGTGTTGCTAGCACTCCTCTTTATAGAAACATCAATATTTTGCCAATAGAAAGAAGTGTAGTTTTGGACAGACCTAGGTGGATTTTTGGGGCATAATATAACAAAGGATGGAGTAGCCATTTTATTCTGGTCAAGCATTCCCTTTTTTTACTCATTCTATTGCAGGAATATTTGTTAAGGAGATTATCAGGTTGCATAGCATGTGGCTGCTTCCATTGTTGGTCATTGAGACCCCATTTTGTAAAAGCACAATGCACTGGTAGTATATTTATGCAGCCTGTGTATCTGCCTAGAAACCACGGATAGTTCAAAATAGTAGCTATATCTATGTTATATCGTGTCATATACATATTTATGTCATACACTTCATAGACACTTCTACTTATATTTTGCAATTTTTTTATTTTAAATTTTAACCTTTTACATCAATAGAGATGAAAATACTATATTAATTAAATAAATGATATCATTTTATCATGTCTAAAATGACCATGGTAAAATTATAATTCTTTTTTGCTTTAGGATTTGTGTTTTCATATTATTTTTTACTATTTTTATGTATTGTATTATAGTCGTGCTGTGTCCTATAATTTTTTAAATTTGTTGTATTCCCGTGTACATGTATCCTTGCTTCCTAGGAATCTGCAACATGACATTGGTAGTAGTTTGATTACAAACTTTTGTCCTAATGATGGACTTAATCTTAGAGGAAGATTTGGACTTCCAAGAATATAAAAGCGAAAAACTCAAACACCAGATATTTTATTCATAAAGTGGTGCTAGGGACACATAAACCACAATGTATTCAGACTTTTTCCATTTTGAGTTTGTCCATTGGTGATGAAAAAGGAAATACACAGAACTCACAAGCACCAGGTATTTTCACATCCTATACTGTTTTCCTCCTTTTCTGCTTTTGATGTTCATCAGAGATGAAGGAATGATACTGAATTCATAATATTCAGTGCTTAACACATGCAATTAGTAATGGCATTTAAATTATTAGTGTATTATGGTAGCTTTCTTAACCTGTTTTGGACATTGCTTTCTTCCCTTGCAGCAACTTCAAGTTCTTCTCTGCTACTTTTGTTTGTACTGCTAGTATCACTAGCATAATGCCTTTGCATTGCACTCTGTGCCAACCGGAACAAGCTATCTCTGATGCAGAGTCTTATTTTGATGTCTAACTGTAGAAAAAGTTTGCCTCGGGATTGTAGCCATGTCCGGATTAGTATACAAGAAAACAGTTATACTGCATATAATACATTAGCAAGTATCAATTCAACCATACCTTTGATATAATATCCTGAAGCCTGTATAAAATGGCGTCTTCAACAAAATCATTATCAACTGCCACAGATATTGTATTAGAATCATCTTGTTCAATTGGGGGATCTAGAGCTGGAAGATTTCTTAGATCTTCATCAGTTCCATCACTATGATGACTTTGAATTTCTGGAGGACATTTTTGAGTGCTGGATTTACCAGTGCTACAAACTTGATGGCCCAATTGTTGCTGTTGTTTCTGAATTGCAAGCATTGCCTGCATTTGCTGCCGCCTCCTCAATTTTTCAATTTTCTCTTGAGGAGTCATGGTTTGGGGCCTGAGTGAGTCCACAGAATTCATCACAGGATTCACTATACCAGGAGACACTTCATACCCAGAAAGTGCTGGCTGATGCCGAAGATCTCTTGACTGAGTCTGTGATAACATTGGTACAGCAGGATATGTATTGGTAAGGTTCCCATACACAGAAGATGCCATGTATGGATTTATGATATTCTGATATAGGGTTTCAGGGCCTTGGATCTGCTTCTGTTGTCCAAGAATTGAAGAGGGAGAAGACTGTATGACAGAAGGTGCCAATTGATTCTCAAATTGTTTTTCTGGTGCTGCTGAAGGAGACCAATTACCATAAAAACCCTGCAAGGCATTCCCTTCTTGTTTTACCTGCAGTTTTTTCCGAGTTTTCAAAATATTCTTTTGCCTAAAAACCTGCACAATATATGAAATAACGTAGATCAAATACTTGATTGACTTTGGGAAGGAAACAGGTGAATATAAATTTTGTGCTAGAGCTGTCACATAATTATGTCAAGGGCGTTCTTCAACCGTGTATAAAAGGACATGCACATCTAATAAGACATATACACCCAAGGACATAAAAAATCAGTTTTGAATGCAAAAGAGGTGATTTCTAAAAATGCTAGATTACGTATTTCAAATTTCCTCAAACTAGCTATTAAGGGACATATAACGACTAGCCTCTAAACTCCTAAAGAACATTAAAAAATTGGATATAACATGTTAGTGTATGAGTGTAGTTCGGATCAAGTGTAGTTCATATCAGTTTCTTTAAGTGACAATTGTCTTTGTAACTGTTTTTTTGTTTCTGTTGTAATCGAATTAAGGATTAGCAGTTTGTATTTTTCTCTTATGTAAGCTTCTATAACTATTCATCATTGATCTGAATTGTATGTGTTTTGTTGTTATTCAATAAAATCAGAATTTCACTTTCTCCCAGTTCTCTCTCTGTCTCTTTTCTCTCTGTACATGGATTCTATCATGGTATCCAAAGCTTTTGATACCGAACCATAGTTCTGCTACTTTTAAAACTATAATTGCTTCCTGCCCTGTGGTCCTTCCAAAATTTTAAGCCATAGATTTAAATTTAAGGTACTGTTTGAGTTATGACGTGTTCATTTATTGTTTTACAATTTGAATCTTTAGTATATATTGAGCTCCTTCACCCAGTAATAGATGCTTATCACATTCCATGATTGATTTACATGCCCAGGACTACTTGCTTGGAGTGGTTGTGAAAACTCCTCCAAATAATAAGCTGTACATTGTTTTTGTGATTAAACCTGACATGCCATCCTCAGTAGAAAATTCCTCAATGGTTGTAACATGCAGAATAAAAGCGGTGCATTTGACCAAGGTTATTTTGTAATTCCAAAATCAAGACATGGTCTTGTAGATGAGTATACTACATCTGTTTCTGGTCACAAAGGAAGAGGTATCATTAACATCAAACTGCCCAATTGTGGTTCTGCCTGTGGAAGGGGCTATGAAGTCCAAGAAGTGGACAATAAAGAGTTTCTATGGATATGCAGTAGCAAAATTAAAGTTGACCAAGTTGGACGTAATAACTTATTGGGGTGTAATAACATTTTCTTTTATTTTAGCACTTATTTGGGGTTGGGATTGGGGTAGGTAGTAGGGAACGAGAAGGGGAAGGGGAAGAGGAGGGACTTATTTGCAAATATTTAAAATGTGTTTAGAGACTTAATTGCAAATATTAATTTTAAATAATAAAATATTATAAAATTAAATGATGTGATATGTCATGTGGTAGTGCTAAGCTAACTTTCTGTCAATCAGCTTAACATTTAACAGAAGGGAGTTAACATCAGGGATTAAATCCCAACTTTTTAATATTTTAGGGACTAAATTCTAATAAAATTTTTTATAAGGACTTGTCACAAAATGTGCTATATTTATAGGGACCAATCACATATTGAAGCCTAGCAATAATTACTGAATATTTACAAAATATTCAGTTAATTCCATTATAGATGGTGGCATTATATACTTTTATGCTTCTAAAATAATTTTGGATTTATTTTTAGTTTGTTCATTTTCTGTTGCAATATTTGCAGAATATAAACCAGAGGTCGCAGAAGTGGTCCTCCTCCCCTGTATCTTATCAGGAAGAAATAGGGATAAACCCTAATTACAAGATAAAACACAGCAGAACTTTGAGGCTCTGCACCTCCCAATGCCCAAAGGGCCTAGCTCTCAAATGGCAAGATACTCTTCTCTCCCAACCTCCTTTTATTTATACACAATCTTCCTTAATTCTTCTCTCTCAACCCAACAAATTAACAGATATCAACAACTAACTCTCTAAACAGTAAGCACTAACAGATATTGACAACAAACAGGTATGTTAACATATAGTTTGAAGGATAAAAGTGAAATTGTCTTGGTCCACCATAAAGATAGAGAGCAAAATAGTATAGATATTTGACAATTGACATACCTGCTGTGCTTTTCCAGTAGGCTTACTTCTAACTCCAGCACTTCCCATATCAGCTGGGATTTTGTGTGAATTTTGTATAACTTGAGATGCAGGACCACCAATCTTCTCGAAGCTGAGGTCCAATGATTCGTCATTACATTGAACATATTCTTCTTTGATTTCCAAAGGCTCAGTTCTATTCCTTAAAGCACCTGATGAACTTGTGTTCAAAGGTAAAGGTGCTGCATTGCTACTCTCATCTTTAGAGGACCAAAGCTCATCATAATTATTAAGACTTGCATGGCCAAATATAGGGTCATCATTGCTGCAAAATCATCACTTGTGAGAATATTCAGTCAGATAGATGCCATTGTAAGATACAAGACTAATAACTAAGAACAGATGTATATCTATAAACATTCACTGTTAATCAGGACTACAAAACTTCTTTCCAATGCTATCCATCTACATGCACTGTATAGTGATTAGTGAAAGCCAAGGGGATGTAAAACTACCTATTGATGATCATTCAAAGTTCAAATTTCAAAAAAATGGAGTAAAATTGTTCGAAAATTTCATTGTGTAATCACTCCCTTTTTTTTTCACTTTATGTTACTATATTATTGCAGCTACAAGTGTGCACAGCTACACATATTTTTCCATTTGATTTTGAAAGAAGGAACTTAAGAAGTTGTGAAAAGTAGTAAATGCAACAGTTCCCATAAATAGGATAACAGGAGAGAGAAGCTTTAGTCCATTTAAGACTTCAGTAATTCTGGAAAAAGAGTAATATGATATCAAATACACTTGTGATCATAATGCTACAAGAGACACATGCATTATACAGTATGATGGAGATAATCTACTTTACCTGAAAATTCGATCAAGGTCATCAAAACTTCCTATGTTGGCCCAGCCATAGTCAACAAAATCACCTTGTTCTTTACCTTCGTGAGCATTTTGGAAAATCTCAGCATCCTTTTCATGTTGTATAGTCTCTTCTGTCAAACATTAACAGAATTAAGAATGGAAAAATATAACAAAATTTAATGCATATTATTTTTTAATATAATGTTGGTTAGACAAGCAGAAAAAGTATCAACAGACAGAGGCCTGTGCATACACAAAAACGCATAGACAGACACGTTATCTAGTCATAATTCCAGCAATTAGCAATTTTACCACCTCTTGATGAACTGAATTTGCTATGTTCACTTAAATTTTTAGATACTTCAGTACCCAGGAAACCCTTGTCAATTTTAGCAGCACTTGATAAAGACAAGTCAGGCCATGAATTTGTTCCATATCCTGAGGCAGGTAGTTCTCCACTGTTATCAAGGTTGGAACTGCTTCCTAGCTTTCTTTCATGAAAATCACTTTTAGCCTCTGGTCTCTTCAGCTTAGTTGCAGCAACTTCCTGATTCCATTCTTTTTTGTCACTGAGATCTTCATTTACCTCTGGATAAGGCACAATATGATCATCACTCTCGACTCCCTCACCCCATATTATGTTAGCAAGCTGAAAACAATTAATTATTAAATATTAATATTATTGACGATATTGAAGTTAACAATAAAAGTACAATCTAGATGTTGACAGTTGTAACATTAATAGACACCAGGAAAAATAGAAATCCACAAAGCAAGAGGACAAGACATAAGAAAATTTACAGCAACTTTATTACCACGTATCAAATAGCCTTTGAAACTAATGAAGGATATGTCCATTTAATTATTCATTCTGATTATGACGGATAGATATTAGAGTGGTCCCTGGATCACTGCAGTACTCTACTGTTAAAATAATAGTTAAGCAGTTATTCTATCTTGTAAGTCAGTTAGTGTATACTGTTGTGTGCATCACGCAGAAACTGAATCACACACTAAATATACAAGGCTGAACTTTGTACAGAATAGTTAAGATTCACAAATCAGATTTTTAAAATTTTGAAACCTCATATCTTCTCTCTCTAAGCTTTCTCTAATTTCCCTCATTTTCTAGCATTTTCTATTATTCTCTCTAATTCTCAGTTCTTAATATGGTATCATAGTCTTCAATTTTGATCTGATTCCAAGGCTTCAGCAAATCTCATCAACTCTGCTGGATTCCATGACCAATCAATTCTCTCAATCTTAGTGAAGTTAGATGACAAAAATTACCTTCTTCAGAACAGCAAATTGAAGGAGTAATCAAGGGCACGTTGACTTCAAGATTTTATTGCAACAACAATTCCACCAAGACATCTCTATGAATATGATCGTGATGCAGATGTTGCTTCTGCGTACCTAGGATGGGAATGGCAAGATCAACTTGTTTACCTAGTTACTCTCATTAATATCAGATTTGAGCATTTTCATGATGTAGTTGGGTTACTTATTTGTTTTATAAATTACAGATTTGATTTTGCAAATATGGTTTAATTTAGGATTTGATTTTATAATTAGGTTTTAATTTTGAAATTATTTAGCTATTTAGGGATTTCATTTTATTTTAGATTTAATTTTGATGGGGCTTTCTATGGCCTTAGTTATAGAGGGAGACTTTAGAATATAAGAGTTTTCGCTTGAGTAGAAGTAAGATAAAGTATGTGCATTGCAATTTTTGCAAAAAAACAAGATGAGAGTTAAGCGTTGATAGTTAAATTAGAGATGATATTATGCCACAAGTCTCAAAGTCCAGATACTTGGAATCAATTCTAAAAAATGATGGAAAAATCAATGAAGATGTTACTCAAAAAATATAAGCTGAGTGGTTAAAGTGGGGAAAGATATAATGAGTTATTTGTACCCATAAAGTACCTATCAAGCTGAAAGGGAATAAGAGAATCCAAGAAAGGAAGAAAAGGAAGAGAGAAAAGGGAGATAGAAGAAAAGAAACTTCGTTAAGAGTTTTTCCAATATTATTCTAAAAGCTGAGTTTTGAATCAGTTACACAAATATATATAGTTAGAGTTTAGTTCTAACAATCATGACAAAATACAGTTGTCATAACAGATTTTGTAACTAACTAATAACTAATCTGTGACATTAGTTCTAGCTTAAAACAGAATGCCAGAAAAGAGAAAAACTAATACAACCGAAATCAAAACTACTACAACCGAATTGTATACTCTAATATCCCCCTGCAAGCTCAAGAGGGCTTGGCAGAAAGTTTGGCAACGACTCTGAACATGGATCTATAGACAGTGAAAGGGGAGGGTGAAAGAGATTTTGTAAGAATATCAGCCCTTTGATCAACAACAGGCACATGGACCACTTGAACTTGCTTGGAAATTACCTTCTCACAAACAAAGTACAAATCAAGTTCAACATGCTTCATCTTGGAGTGCAAAACAAGATTATGAGCAAGACTAATAGTACTTTGATTGTCACAAAATATGATAGGAGCGTGTGAGACTTGAAGTTCTGAGAGTAGTGACTGAATCCAAGAGAAGCGAGAGCCAACTACGTATTTTGCCACTGTACGGGAGCAAGCAACAACAAATTGCTTCTTAGACCACTAGGAAACTAAGTTTGGGCAAAAAAATATAGCAACACCAGAGGTGGAGCGTCTGTCATCTGGATCAGACACCCAGTCAGCAGCATCACAATAAGCATAAACGGAATAGTGGGAAGTCGAAAAATTCGGCTGTATGAACAAACCAAACTGAAGAGTGCTTTTAAGATAACACAGGACATTCTTGACGGCTTGCTAGTGTGGTTCCTTAGGAGCACTCATGAATTGACAGACTTTGTTAAGAGAAAAGCTAATTGCAGTCCTTGTAATAGTAGTATACTGCAGAGCACCAACAACTCAATGATACAGAGTAGGATCAGAGAAATCTTCAGTGCCAGTTTTGGACAATTTACAGCCACCAACCATAGGTGAAGAGATAGCATTAGCCTCAGCCATATTAGTCTTAGTCAACAAATCACGAATAAATTTGGATTGAGAGAGCAAAAGAGAATTATTGGAGTGACTATTGACCTCAATCCCAAAAAAATAGTCAAGATCACCCAAATCTTTTTGAGAGAAAACTTCCAATTCAACTTCACAACTAGAAATTGAATGAAATCAGGATTGTTACTAGTAACAATGATGTCATCTACATAAAGCAGCATGTAAATCACAGTAGATGCAACTTTATAGACAAAGAGAGAGGGATCACACTTGCTGGATTGAAAACTATAGGTGAGAAAAGTGCTTCTTAGTTTTTCAAACCAAGCTCTTGGAGCTTGTTTGAGGCCATAAAGAGCCTATTGGAGTTTACATACCAAAGTTTTATTTGAATGCTCAAAACCAAGTGGCTGAGTCATGTAGACTTCTTCAAGAATTTCATTTAGGAAGGCATTGTTGACAGCTAAGTGCTGAAGTTTCCAATGATTTGTTATAGTAACAGTGAGCAAAATGCGAACTGTGACCAAGGTTATCAATGGCAGATGGTAGGTATGACGGAAACCCAAAAAACTGCCATAAAATTATGGCAGCTGCCATAGTAGGTTATGGCAAATATAATAAAATAAATATAAAAAATATTATATAAGTCATAAGAAATGATAAAAAAGAATCAATTAAAAATATAAGTAGTGTAACCCACAGCTCAACACATAATTCAATATAAAATAAATATAATAAAATCAGTTTTGGGTTTTCTATTAGGTTGTCTTCTCTATTTTTTATTCATCTTTTCATCTTCTGCTACTCACTTATGGGTTCTGTCCCCCAGTGCAACAGTGGGTAAAAATGTCTACTTTTCCTGTCCCTGATGCAATAGTGGCAGCAAAGGGGTTCTGTCCCCAGTCCAACAATGGGTAAAAATGTCTAGTTTTCTTGTCCCACAGTTTTTGGGGTTTTTTAAGGATAAAAAAGACTTCTCTCTTTAAAAAAAATTAGCTTGCCCTTTTGCCCTCAAAAGGATCATGTTTTAAGTTTTTTTAAAGGATAAAATAATCTTATCAAACAATATCACAAACCCATTCTCTTCACTTTTGTTCAATGCTCCCTTCTCCAATATACATCTCTGTCTCTGTTTTTTTAGAGGGCACATCTCTCATCCTCTAATTTGAGGGTGGCTCCCTTCCCTAATTTGTCTCTGTTTTGCTTCCATCATTAGTCACCGGATTGGAGCAATCGTTGTTGGAGCTGTAGCAGCAAGAATCACCAAAATAATAGGGGTTGAAGAAGACCCAAAACCCCAACAGGAATGAAAAACAGAAGATGGAAGGTGAACCACGAGTGAAGAACACAAATCAAAGGAAAAAGAAATGAGAGACAAAGAATGGCAACAATTATTTTTACGGTTGGGCCTGTGGGTTTTTTCTCTAGACTGGGTTGGGTTTGTGACCCAACCCATTTTTTTCCTGCAAAAAACCCATTTTTCTACAAAACCGCCATTTTTCTGCCATGGCTGCTGTTACCGCTATGCATGTCACAGCCACCATCGGAAAACGCCATAAAATGTCATGCTTGTGACAGAGAGTATGAAAATCGCCACCGATTCCTGTTATAGTGCTGTCATAATGGTTATTTGATAACATTGACTGTGATAGACTTAATGACAATTAGGAAAACATACTCGTTGTTCTTTTACTAGTCGTGTCCATTGTCATTCTACTTCTCCCTTTTCTTTAATTCACACTGATGTGTGGGATCTAAGTCATACTTTATCTACTTTAGGTTCAAAATATTATTACTTCTATTAATGATTATTCTATATGTACTTGGTTATTTTTAATGAAAAATCGTTCTGAGTTATTTTCTATTTTTAAAACGTTCTTTTTTGAAATTAAAACTCAATTTGGTGTTCCAATTCGTACTTTACAAAGTGATAATGCTTGTGAGTACTTATCTAATCAATTTCAAAATTTTATGGCTTCTAATGGTATCCTTCATCAGACCTTTGCCTATACTCCACAACAAAATGAGGTTGTTGAACGAAAAAAAAAATAGATATCTTATTGAAACTGCTTGTATTCTATTTTGTCAAAGTCAAGTTCCTCATCGTTTTTGGAGTGATGTTCTTATTGCATGTTACTTTATTAATAAAATGTCATCCTCAGTTCTTCAAAATCAAGTGCCTCACTCTATCTTATACCATCACCAGTCCCTTCACCCTTTACCCTCCTCTGTCTTTGAGTCCACCTGCTTTATTCATGACCTTAATCCCAGACTTGATAAACTCTCACCATGTTGTCACAAATGTGTTTTTTTAGGTTATACTAGGTCTCAAAAAGGTCATAATTGTTACTCTCCAGCTCTTCGTTGCTATTTAGTTTCGGCTGATGTCACCTTCTTTAAATTTGCTCCTTTCTTTACACCCAGTCCTCCTATTTTTAGTCTCTAATTCGCACTCATAACTGTTCCATAACATTTCCTGCTGAATCTTTCTCTATACAGGAATGGAGTACGGGACAGACAATTGGAGTAGGATCTGAATCGGGTGGTCTTTATTATTTCCAACCCCCTTCCTCAGTTGTCTACATTGTTATAGATTCCCCTCTTCTCTTGTATCGTCACCTAGGACATCTAGGTCTAAATAA